ATCTAGATTACAGACCCATCTCTTTAACCTGGCATACACATAACACACTATCACATTTCTATAAATCAAATCCGTTAAAGGATTTGTAGGCTACATTTATTAGGTCAACCGGAACCGGTAACACTTCCCATAACATCTGATGTACTTGTTACATCATAAGAAAAATGGCATCAATGCTAATATTAGTCGCTTTCATTCTTATTCCGAGGTCACTGTAGCCATACAGATCCAGTCTGTATCCAGATTAGATGGTCACCGTAGCCACCCAGATCCAGTCCGTATCCAGTCCAGATGGTGGATCAGCACCTAGAGATGACCTCTACAGCCCTGAATGTCAGCGGAGACCACGTCAACTAGATGCGTCCCAGAGACCGATCTCCTGCGAAGTCCTTACAAGACCACGGGAACCAGACAAGTCCTCTGCACCTATGTTGTAGCCTGGAATTAAACCACGCCATGCTGGTTTCGTCTGCCCAACTGAGCCTGTTTTCTCCCAAGGTTTTTTCTCCATTTCTGTCACCGATGGAGTTTTGGTTCCTTGCCCACTGTCGCCTTTGGCTTGCTTAGTTGGGGACGCTTGACTGATTGCACAGACACTATTGGAAGAGAACTGACCTGGATGAAGACATCACTGAATCATCAATGAACTGACTTTAGCTGAAAAATGACACAATACATTTTTTTTTATTGTGTAATTGCATCGACAAACTATTTTCCAGTTTGACTCTGTAAAGCTGCTTTGACACAACTAGTATTGCATAAAGCGCTATACAAATAAATGTGAAAGAATGAAATGAAAGAAAGAAATAAGACTGATGAAAAGAGGAGAAATCTTGCACCAGCATATATTAAAATATTTTTAAACTACTCATGACTAGTGTTGGGGTAACGCATTACAAGTAACTCAAGTTACGTAATCAGATTACTTTATTCAAGTAACTAGTAAAGTAATGCATTACTTTTTTAATTTACACGAAAATATCTGAGTTACTTTTTCAAAAAAGTTACTCCAGTTACTTTGATTTCCCATTTATCTCCTGTCCCCATATTGGGAGAAAGCGGAAGTGCAGAGGAGTTGTGTGCGCTGTGTGAACATGATGTTACTGTAGTTCTAGACTAAATGTGAATGCGCATTAATTCATCCCACTCACAAAAAAACAGATTTAGTATTCATCAAAATAAATGAAAACAGTGAAATGCAAACTCAGAATATGACGCAAACCTGCAATAATTAAATATGTTTAATAACACAAATGTATCTAATCCCATTTTATTAACCAATGTCTTTGCTACTGACCTTTGATGATCCAGTTCAACCATACTAATAAGCAAAAATGACTTTAGATAAACTAACAATTGTGCTTCATTTTTTTTTTATTACTGAAGAGTGTTTCTTCTCCTGCGTTCTACTGTACAGACGTGAATTTACTTTTCCTTCAGCCTGAGGTTTATTCATTACACTTTTTGGTGTGAAAGGGCTTTTACATTTGCTATAAATAGAACTTCTTATATTAAAAAAACAATCAAACCCTGCTCATATTTAAAAAGTAACGCGAAAGTAAAGCAAAAGTAATGTAATGCATTACTTTCCATAAAAAGTAACTAAGTAACGTAATTAGTTACTTTTTTAGGGTGTAGCGTCTGGACCAATCAAACACACAATATATATTTTGTTATAACTTTCTCCAAAACACAAATACTCTGTAACACCCCAGGAAGCCGAACAGGCCCCTGGTTTCATGGTAACCCGATACATTTACAACCTTGTGGAATGCGAGCAGACTCTCAGCTGCATTCTCCAGAAGCAAGAGGCACAAATGCACAGTAGAAATGGACTTTTCTACTAATTAATTCATAGGAAAACCTTTCTTTGAATGAACACACATATTTTAATTGATACATTAGTTATCATTTGCACCTTTTTACAAAGGTGTGTTTGAACTAAGAATCTGATGTTTCCTTCAGGTGGTATATCTGCTGAATATCAAATGGTACCATAGTTTCATATTCTTATTTCTCTTCTCTTTACTGCGTTAAGCTTTTACCCTTTCCTATACCAACTGTATGTGTGTGTGTATGTTAGACCAGTTTAAGTGTTTATGTAGTATGTTGTACTAGTTTAAGTGTTTATGTAGTTAATAAAGTCTTACTTGTATCACACTTGATGTTGTTCATTGTTTGCTCATAACTGGAGTCACTTAATCATGCAGATTTATGCTACAAGCTCTTTGTAGAATTGTACAGTAAGAAAGTTATTCCCCTTAACCAGGAAATTAACGTTCTTAGAATTGACAGACAGTTGACCCTGAGAAGTCAAGTAAATATCTACAGTGGATCTAAATATTTATAATTAATTATAACTAGTTATGATTAATTATTCATATTTCCCTTATGAGCTGATTCGCTACAAGGGAGTAACGCAATATTGTAATGCATTACTTTTAAAAGTAACTTTCCCCAACATTGCTCATGACCACCTTTTCCAGAATAATTTATCACGTTTTATTGTAGACTTTATTGTTGTACATTTTGTTGAACTTGATGTAGAATTTATAATAGATAATCTGTTATGGGAATAGATTTTTCCCTAAAGATTTATATAACAACTGTGGCATGTTTCTAAATGTGCATGCTGTTGTTTTTTAATAACAAATGCTATATAGAGTAATAAAAATTATTGTTTCGCCATTGTTTCGACCCACACCTGTATAGATTACTCTTTTGTCTAGCCTAGTTTGAACTGCTTTCTGTTTTCGACTCTTGCCTTTTATGACCTCGTCTATTCTTTAATAAAAGCCTGTGAATGGATCCACATGTCTCTCATTGCGTCCCTTTTGCAACAGAATACTCGGCCAAACAAAGATCCAGTGGCTTTTCTACAGGACACTGGCCAGGTATGGACACCGCAAGATTATTGTTACCTCTCAAACAGGGCACATGATCGCTCAAGGTCTATATCCAGGAATATCTTCACATAACTTATTCTGATTTGCTGGACTATATTTTGATAGACTTTTTTTGTGATGGGATTAATGAACCACTGAAGTCTAAACTCATTCATGAGGGTCCCCGTTCATCACTCAGTCCGTTCATGGTGTAGCAAATTAGCTCAAAAGGGAAATGTATATAAATTATTACAATTAATTATAATTAATTACAATTATTTACCTCAGCTGTCAGTAGTAACTGTAGCAGAATTAATATTACAATCACTAATCTGTTCATCCAGCAAATATTCAGTGTAATTTCATATCATCTCTAAGAAAGGATATTTTCGTGGCCACAGAAAATTACTTTCTGACAGTACTAATGCATTAGAGCATGTAGCTAGATCAGATCATAAAAGGGACATTATTCACAAGTGGTGACAGAACCAGAAACTCATGTAATCTGTGCACAAACGTTTTGTTAACTAAAGACTAACCCATAACTAATCTAAACAAACAAACATACAGTCATTCATGGGGGGTTGGAAGTGGATGAATTAATCCGTTATGAGAAACCAGAGAATGCAGTTATGGAAAATGAGTCAGTTAACCACCTAAGTGAAACCATCAGTGCCGTTATAGAACGGGGTCTACAGCTTATACTTAACCTCTGTTTCATTTAGTTAAATGTACGATACTTGCTTTGCCTTGGCTGTTGAACGAGTGTCCGGATGCCGTCTCGGATGAAAGTCTTGATGGTTTAGAGGTTCAGGGGTGTTGGAGTCACGATCATGTTCTTTCGGGTTTGAAGAGTGATGAACTCTAAAGAGATGTTATTCTGACTCTGTGGTGGTCAGGAGAGTTTTCTCCCAGATGGAAAGTGATGAGAGAAGAGCGCAGAGCTAGAGAGACATCAGCTGAGATCCGAGGATCTTTGGTGAATGTAAAGACAAGGCCGCAGTCTGCCACAAACTTAGGGGTCCTTCGAAGTCGTCTAGCTCAGCCTCATCTTCTCAGAATCTGAAAGAACCTAGACTGAAGGTGGGTCACTGATGTGAATGGCTTTATCTTCTATCGAGATCACACCTCCGGGGAATCAAAGAGTCAATGGTGTCTTAAACTTTTGGAGGGAAAGTTTACGTCTCTTTGTCTCCAAGCATGGTATTTTGCATATGTAACTGGATTTGATGTTGATATACAAACTATTAAAGATTCTTAGAACACTAATATGTTACATAGGTATCAACATATAACATACACTCTCATTTAGATCATCACAATACGAATTCATAGAGACCAAACATGGTATAAGTGAGTTGATATTAACTAGTGATCTATCATAAGCATGCATAAAACAGTAACCAATACACAAGACCATATACAAGAACATAATAATCATACACAATAACCAGGGGATATGCATGATAGGAAGGTCATAGAACAAAATGTCTATGAATTACATGACAGATGTCATTTCCTATAGCAGTATGTGTCTGTTTTAGAGAGAATTAAGTAAGGGGAAGAAGATTCTCTACATAATTTTAGGTCGTAAAGTTTATCTGATCTGGCTGAGGTGTCCTGGTTGCCATTGTAACCAAGGGCCTGTTCTGCATTTTTGAGGTGTTAGTTGAATTTCGGGGGAAGGGTCTATAGACCCTCATAGTTGGCTTGTTGGTTGGGTGAGGGGTGTTAGGGATAATTTGATGAATATAACAAATAATTGTGTGTCTGATTGGTCCAAACGCTAGATGGACTACGCTTTACTGTTAGTCAGTGTGGGTGACTAACCCACACTGGAGGTACACAACACTGCGTCTGTGCCGGTGATCCCCGTTGATCATCCAGAGCCTCGCCATGTCTCATCTGATCTGCCAGAATCTTGTCATGTCACAGCTGATCATCCAGAATCTCGTCACGTCATAGCTGATCGACTAAAGTCCCGCCATGTCACAGCTGATCGTCCAGAGCCTCGTCACATCTCAGCTGTCATCTCAGAATCATGTCATGACACAACCGGTTTTCCTGAGTCTTGTCACGTCCTGTCTATCACACCCAGATCTTTGAGGTCAGTTCCTAAGTATCCCAGACTGGCATCAAGCGTGGAGAACTGCTGGTGTCAGCATGCGTAGCTGGTATCCCTAAGCTCTCAAGCCCTTCTTTCCCAGAAGTGATTTCCGTGTCTGCAGCGCTTCCCATTATGGGGATCGCTTTATGGTGTGTCTGGGTTGCATACAGCATTGCTGAAACCCCAGAGGCAGTGGCATCCGCTGCGAAATCTCCTGAAGTGGTGGCACCCGCTGCCGTGTTTCCAGAGGTGGTGGTGTCCATTCCAGTCCCCGAATCCAGTTCCGAGCCTTCACCAGTCCTTGAATCCACTTCCGAGACTGCTCCAGTCCTTGAATCAGCTCCAGAGCCCGCACCAGTCATTGAGTCCGCTCCAGTTCCCTCGTCACGGCCATGAGTGCCGTTCCCTGTTCCAATGACTCCAGTTCCATCGTCATGGCCTGGAGTGCCGTTTTCTGTTCCAATGACTCTAGTGAGTCCAGCTCCTCCCGAGGTGATGGCATCTGCTGCAGAACCTCCCGAAGAGGCGGCGTCCACTCCAGCTCCTCCTGAGGTGGCGGCTTGTGCTGCAGAACCTCCCAAAGCGGCGTCTGCCTTTGAACTCTCTGCCAGTCCAGCCACGGCCAAAGAAGCTGTCTGTGAACCCACAGCCTGTCCTGCCATGGTAAAGAAGGCCATCTTTGAACTCTTGTCCGGTCCCGAACCGGCCAAGGAGGCCGTCTGTGAACCCTTATCATGTCTCAATTCAGTCGTAGAGGTTGTCTGTGAACTTTCATCCAGCCCTGAATCAGCCACGGAGGCCGTCTGTGAACACTTCTCTTGTTTTAACCCAGCTAGAGATGCTGCCTTTGAACGTTCAGCCCTGTCTGTCACAGCCGAGGAGGCTGTTCATGAACTTCCTGACTGTCCAGTCGCAGCCATGAAAGCCTTAAACGAACTTTCTATTCACCCAGTTAACCCCATCACGGCCATAGGGGCCACAAATGAACCTGTTATCTGCCCCGTTAGTCCAGTCACGAACCCAGAAACCTTACCTGAGCCCTCTGTATGCTCTAGTAGCCTTGTCACAGTCTAAAGACCCGCCTTTAAACTCTTAACCCTGTCTGTCATAAGCCCAGAAAATATAAATGCAATCCATGTCTGCTCTGTTACCCCTGTCATTGCCAAAGAGACCACTAATGAACTGTCTACCTATCCTGTCTCAGTTAATGAGTCTAATTTTGAACCATATGTCTGTCCAGTTTCAACCAAAGAGCCTGAGCGTGAACAGTTTTGTCAGTCTTGTTTCAATTAATAAATCTAATTTTGAACAATCTGTCTGTCCAGTTTCCAACAATGAGCTTGAGTGCAAACAGTCTGTCTATCCAATTCCAGCCAATGATTATGAACTGTCTGCCTGTTCAATTTCAGTCAGTGAGCCTGTTTATGAATTGTCTACTCATTCAGTTGTCACCAGGGAAACTACTGATGAACCTTTTGTGTTCCCTGCCTCGGTCCTTGTCGTTTTATTGTTTATTTATTTATATAGCACAATTTAATACAACTCAAGTTGCCCAAAGTGCTTCACAATCACAAGCTAAAAAAACCATATATATATATATATACTGTATATACACACACCCTCATCACATAAACACAGATAAACATTAACCCATTTAAAAAAGCTCCCCATTTTTGTATTTAAAAGATGTTGTTTTAACATAGCTTTGAACATGGGTAAGGATATGGCAGATCGAATAGATTGCGGGAGGTCATTCCACAATTTAGGGCCTACACGAGAAAAGGCTCTGTCACCTCTATGTTTATATTTTGTCCTATTAGCTCAAAGCAGATGTTGATTTTCTGATCTCAAGGATCTAGTGGGGGTGTAGATTGCCACCATACTGGACAAATACACAGGAGCTAGATTGTGCAAGACCTTAAAAACAAGTATGAGTATCTTGTAAATAATCCTTAATCGTACTTGTAGCCACTTTAATGAAATTAATAACGGAGTCACAGATTCAAATTTCTTTGCAGACTTAATTATTTTTGCTGCTGCGCTTTGGATTTTCTGTAGACGCATAAGTGCTCGAGCATCAACTCCATAATATAGGGAATTACAATAATCCATTCGAGAAAAGACAATGGCAATAATTACTTTCTCAAAATCTGAACTGGATAGAAATGGCTTAGTCTTAGCTAACAGACGTAAATTTAAAAAACAAGATCTCACTCACCACAGTATCAATTTGCCTGTCCAACTTTAGGTCACTATCCAGAACAAATCCCAGATTTTTTACAGTAGATTTAGATTTAAATAATTTGCAGCCATCCAGTCCTTAACATCCTGTAAGTATGCTGATAGAGCGTCAAATGAATTAGAATTTAACTCTTTCACAGGCAAGTAAATCTGCGTATCATCGGCATAACAGTGGAATGATACTCTATATTTCTGAAAAATAGCCCCCAACGGTACAATATACAGGGAGAAAAGAATTGGAGCAAGAATTGATCCTTGTGGGACTCCCCAAGGAAGATGTAATCTTGAAGAATAACAGCCCCCAATACTAACAGAAAAAAATCTGTCTGTGAGATAAGACTTAAATCATTTAAGCACATTTCCTTTTACGCCAACCCAGTGTTCTAAGCGGTTGATTACAATCTCATGTCCACCATATCGAACGCTGCACTAAGGTCAAGCAAAATTAAAATAACATTTGCGCCATTGTTCAGTGAAACAAAAATGTAATTTAACACCTTAACCAACACTGTCTCAGAGCAATGCTGGGACTTAAAGCCTGACTGAAAGGGCTCACCAATTGAATTCACAATGATATGTGCTTGTAATTGCTTAAAGACCACTTTTTCTAAGACCTTTGCTAAAAAAGGAAATTTTGAGATTGGTCTAAAATTATTAGGATCCTTTATTGCCAAATTAGGCCTCTTTAATAATGGAAGAACTGTAGCATGCTTAAACTCTGCTGGACAGGTGCCATCACATGACATCACCTTTAGATGAAGAAGGCCTAAGATGAACAACAATATCCACCAAAACTGGAAGTGTAATATGATGGAATTCTATCCATTCCACGCTACAAGGCACCGCCAGGTCAAAAGATGGATCCACCTGCAACTTCGGTATTTTAAAGTGTAAACCAACAATTTTATCATTAAAAAAATTCAAAAAGTCTTCACTGTTCAGGATTGAAGGATCTGGATACCTAGTTTGCCAAGGTTTGCCAACTGAATTTATTATCTCGAATAAAATTTTCGGCTCATTCACATGTTGAGTGATAACATTCCAAGTAATACTTATGTTTAGCATCTCTAGAGGCCTTCTGGAATGTCAGTAGCGATTCTCTGAATATCTCATAATGGACCAGCAGTTTATGTTTTTTCCATGTCCTCTCAGCTTGTCGAGCATGTTGTCTAAGTGCCCTTAGGGATTCATTAAACCATGGCAAATGTTTAATTTTACCCCTTTTAGCTTCAAAAAGAGCCACGTTATCTAACATATCAGTGCAAACATAATTTAACCGTTCCAACAGCTCATCAACACTTAAATTCATCAAGGATGTTTCAGACAAGATAGAATCACAATAGTCTCTATACAAAATAGAGAACACTGCCATCAGTCAATCACATTTACAAACTCTCAGGAAACCGCATCCTGCTCACAACACATGTGTACATTAAAGTCTTAATAATTAAAAAACAGTAAAATTGTGTAATCAGCCAACTCACAAAATGAGAAAATTCATTTATAAAATCCTTATTTAGCTTTGGAGGACGATTCACATGTGCAACCAGCACAGGATTAGTCAACATTATCTGAAACTTTTGTAGCTCAAAGCTATTATAATGTTCAGTAGAGATCGTCCGACATCCGATTTCATCTTTAAAAATAGACATAAGGCCCCCACCTCGACCAGTTAAATGAGGATAATTATAATAGGAGTAACCCAGTGGTACAAGTTCAGCCATTGGAGTCAGATCTCCTACCTTTAACCAAGTTTTCCGACAAAAAAAGGACCAACTTATTGTTTATAATAAAATCGTTGAGTATAAAAGTTTTGTTTCCCATGGAGCGAACGTTAAGTAAAGCCATTTGCATCTTCGCATAACGAAGATACTGCTGCTCAATGCCTCTCATACAGACGTGTGACCATCCCGTTTGTCTCACAAAGGTCGGGCCATCAGGAAGTATCGGGTGAATCCAGCCACACATGCCAGTCGTGAAGCGCCGACAAACTATTCGGCCTGCTGGCAGATAATGCATTTGCATGCCACCACAAAAGGGGTGGGGCTGTACAGAAACACCGTCTAAGCTGTTCGCCAATCACAATGCACTGGGACAGCCAACCAATAACAACACATTTCATTTTTGGAAGGCGGGCTTTCATCAAACCTGGAACTAATTGAGCCATTTGTGCCAGGCTGGGGAGAAAGGTGTTAAATGTAATGTAATTTATGTGAAAAATAATGCATTTTTCGAACCACCAAGCATGACGGCATTTTAGTAAAAGGATAAAGTATTATCCTGTCAGTGTGTCTGAGTTTATGTTATTCTGTGGTAAATATCTGCACCACAAGAATGGTAAATATGTTGATATAAGTATGTTAATATATAGAATGTTAAACTCATTGAGCTTGACAGAACATCACTTGTGTCAGTGAATGTTTTTCGAGTAAACGCAGATGAGGTGTTCACCAAGTGATCGTTTCACCAATTAATATATGAATTTATTCTCTAAAGACACTCAAAACGATAAATCATATTGGTGCAAATTTAAAGAATACAAATCAAATGGGATGCATTCATCATCATACATAAGTAATGATGAAACTATTTTACCAGCTACTGAATTTAACCAAAACTCATGGCTTTAATGACTTTAATGCATTGTTAGTCATGTTCCTGTATTTAAAATCACTTCTCACTCCTGCAAAGAAAGAAAGAAAGAACAAACCTAATTGTTGTTTGGGGAAAACAGCTTCTTTGTTCAAAATCAGAAACAAAACAAATCATGGATTTAAATGAAACACAGCTGCTTCCTTTCATTATCTGCAGTCAGCAGATCCATCAGGCCGATGACAATGCAGAAAAATACTGAGCATATTCTCAATATTTAATTGCTTCTGTCAAAACCCAAACGCCCTCCTGTGAGGAATGAGATGTCGACTAGCATGTGTTCATACTGCAACTCAAGCTTTTTGTGATGTTTTGATGTTCCTTCTACACATTTATATTTATGCCATTATTTTTCTATAAGATAAATAGACAAGCAGATTTCACCTGACAGAATAGGTGAAAATAGGTGAAAAAATCCAATCTAATTGCATTACCATACATAAAGATTACAATTATAAAGACCTATTTTATACCTTTTTACTTGGACTGCTAATCATGTAGTTCCCCTTCAAGGGAACTCCACACTGCGTCTTCTAGAGGACACTTTGGGGAATGCCATCAGCATGACTGGTGTCTGAAGCACGTGTAAAAACACTCCAATCCCACTTGGCCATGCAGCCTGTGACGTCATTACCGGGGTACCCTGAAGTATAGAGGGTGCCTGTAATGCACGTCATCAGCTTTTTTGTCTTCAGGAGCCGTCTGTTTGTTCAGTGAGTGAGACATGGATAAGAGTTCATCTGAGTGTTGTAGGAAGTGTGTGCCTCTGTGTCTTGAGATTTGTGACACCCGAGGACTCACACAACCTATGTGTTATGTGTTTGGGAGAGGAGCATGCATGTTCAGTGCTCGAGGAAATTATGAGGAAAGTGTGAGTACTGAGTCATCCCAGCCCACCAACCCCACAAACGGGGAGATGTTGGAGGTTATGGCCCGTACTGCTAAGAGATTCGAACTGGTTTGGGGGCATGAGAAACAGAAGCCTTCTCGTAGTCATCTAGATGATCGGTTTCTGTCAGGCCATGACCGTCCTTCTCCCAGGAGCCTTCCATTTCTCAACGATCTTCATTCAGAGCTTGAGAGATCTTGGTCGTGACCATATTTAGCTCAGCTTCACCTCTTTAAACACACCGATTTGCTAATGTTGAAGGTCTAACTGAGCATGGGTATGTGAAGATGCCACCTGTGGAAGAGACGTGAGTGGGTTATCTCTTTATCTACTAGGCAGGTACATCCCTTGCCGGACTAGGTCATCCCCCATAATCTCTGAGCGGGCTGGTCTGTCTTGATCCGAGGATCACAGACAGTACCAGAAGTCTAGCGTGGCCACTCGTGCTCCTCTGCTTTAAAGGAGTAGAGCATGTAGGAGGCGTGATTCTAAGGAGAGTAGAGGGGATCCCATAAAACTGATTGAGAAGAAGCGTGCTGATAGCCAATGCTCTGTTACAAACACACCTTAGTGCTTAGCGCTGGCTGTCTCCCCCCTATCCTTACCTTAGCTCGATTCTCTCTCTCGAGTGGTGTAAATTGAGCTCTTGCACTCAGCGGTTTGGTCCTGTGGCTGCCTTTTCAGTTGAGCTCAGGATTGTAGGGAGCATGAGAGTTTTAAGTTTCTCATCATAATCTACAAGATGCCCCTCCCCAAAGTTTTGGGTTTTAAGTAGGGTTCTTTGCTCCCTTCTCTGATCTGGGTTGGGCTGCCTCCCCTGTTTTAGAGGGGTTTTAAGTAGGCGGTTAGTAGCTATTTGAGGATAGTTTGATGGACTGTCCTTGGTTGGGCTGTTTCCCTCATTTCAGAGATTTTAAGTAGTCAGCCCACCTATAGCTATAGGTTGAGTCTCTTTTAGGCTTCCAATTTGGGAATTTTCTTGTCAAAGATGTACCGGTCGAGGCCGGTTTTCTTTGATAAGGCTACTGTATTGTGAGCTTTCCTACCTATATTTTGGTAGCAGGGATGGGCCTCCTCCCTACTTTAGGGCTTTATAGGCAGCCCCCCCTGAGGTTCACTTTTTGCCTAGTGTAGTGGTGCCTCCCCTGTATTAGAGGTTATTAGGTAGGCAACCCACTTATAGCAGCCTTGTCAGAGGTCAGTAGCTGTCTGTGGATAGATCCCTTTGGATGAGTTGTTCTTCCAATCCCCATGCTTGGGCTGTCTCCTTTGTTAGGTTTTCGAGTAGACCCATTACCCGGGCGTTATTGCCCCCTTAATCGGTGTATGTCTATCACAATTTTTTGGTGCTCTCTCACCAGGTGGTCAGACTTGCACCAGGGTATGGCGTAGTGGGCATTTTCTTTTCCCAAAGTGTCCCCTATGGGACACAGTGTCAAGTCTGACAACCTGGTAAGAGAGCACCAAAAATCGATACCATTTTTTTTTTCATAACCGATCTGATAACAAAAAATTTGATTATCGGCAGATACCGATCCGATACTTGTGTGTTGACCTGATCATCACAGTTTTGTGTGTTAAACACAATCTACTAAATTTTATATAAATATTTATATATAAAAATATATACTATAAAATTAAAAGAGAAGTTTATTTTAAATGTATAGCACAGCAATGAGGCAGCAACATATGATAGATAGGACAGAACAAGAAAGGCTATTAACAATCTTTCATTGTGCAAAAGTATTATAATATGAAAGGCTCCAATACAGAGCGTAACAAAGCGCTTATGCGCATGCCGCATGCAGAATGATACAAAGTTTCTCTTGCTCTAGAAACATTGTAACCATTAACTGACACTATATCTATTTGCTAATAGAATGTATGATACAATTCTGCATATGTCCTCTAAGATTTTTTTTTTGTGGTTGCAAGCTTTAGGGTTTCTGTTCTTCTAACTGCTGGAGTATGTCCGAGGTTTCTCTGCTATGTAGACAAATGCGGATATGTGTGTGTGTGTGTGTGTGTGTGAGTGGTTGGCATGGTCTTTTCTCTCTCGTCTCCATCTGGTCTCCATTAGGACTGGGAGTATAAAACTACTGCACTAAGAGAGAGCTCCACAGAGCCGACAGACTCTTAACAATCTAACCCCAACACACTCTTGCAGCTATGTCCATGGTGCTGTGGGTCTATCTGCTGTGTCTGCAGGGATGTCTTCTCACATATGCTCTGGACTGCACGGGCAGAAGGGTGGAATGTGCCGACACACAGGTTACAGAGGTAAAGGTAAGTGCTATAGCTTCTGGTTTGAGATCTTTCATTATTGAAGAACGTTATACGTTACATTTGGTATGTAAAAGCATTGTGGCTTGCTTTTTTTAACCTAAGCTACAACCTTTCAGTGGTACTTGTACAGTTGTTCAGGCTTTGAGCACTTTTTGTGTAATTACACATTTATAAAAAATCTATTACATAGTGACACCACAATTACACATTAAATCAAAATACACCTGTGCATAAGATAATTTCAGGCAAATCACTGAATTCACAATGAGAAATAAGACTCAAAATTGTGGTCTACATGACTACAGTAAAAGCTCTGGAATGCTAAACCAAAAAGTTTCCATTCCAG